ACAGGAGGTTTCTGACTGAAATGGCAGTAACACAGCCTGTTTGTACTGAAGTCACCATCGCAGCCCACCAGACACGCTCTTATTCTACAGTCCCAGGCAGTGCGTGTTTGCATGTACATACACATAGTCTGTCTTTAGACTACATTATTTTAACCCCAAGTCATTGAATACAGTCATTTGCTGATGCGGAGGAGGAGTGTAATGTTCAAAGGGTGGCTGAAACTTTCCCAAAGAGCTGTCCCACTCAACACACAGTAATGCAGAATTCTGGCTATAAACCCTTCCCTTTCCACTACTGGTGACCTGCTGATACCTAGACAACTAAAAATGAGTCAATAAACAATTATGTATACCTTCAAATGATATAATTGTGGTAAGAGGGGACAACTAAAGGTAACATAAATAGAACATGAGAGTTGGGATAAGCCTGGGTTTTAGCGTGTCGGTTTTTGCCTTTTTTCTTTTCTTTAAATCAGACTGGTTTGGCATACGTAACCCATGCTGTCCTTTAACTCATGTATTCACCCATAAATCATGGAATTAAACTGATTATTCCAAGTCCCCATGTTGTATTAGTCTCCCTCCATCTGCATATATTTTATATATATATATTTATATATGTGTGTGTGTATATCTCTATATATCTACATCTATACACACACATAGCAACTGTGCACCTAGTAACTTTCCGCTGAGAGTGTATGAGTGTTTCCATTTCATCTGGACAAATATAAATCAATTAGCATACCTTGATGTGAGGCAAGAGAACACTGTAGTCAATGGGTTATGTGTTTTACACAGTAAAATAGCTGTACCTGCTTTAAATAGTTATAATGATAATTACTAATGTACTTTGCATGTTAATTCTAAAGATTAAAGATCACAGAGTTAATTGAAAGAAAATAATTGCTATTTTAGTTATTTATCTTTTTGTTAGCATTAGACAGTGTATGTCTTAGACAACAGAGTTTCTAGCGATGCAATCAAGGGAAGATAGGATCAGAGTTTTGCCTCAGACTTGGTGTTCTCAAGCTGATGTGAATTTAATATGATTTATCTTTTTTTTTTTTTTAATTAAGACATTATTAAACCCATTCAGAAAGAAACTTAGCCTTTAGACAAACAGTGATGTAAAACTATTTGTGTACAAAATTCTGCTATGTTTCAAGTGGCTGAGTGTAGTAGTAGCAATTAAGAAGAAAAGTGGCAGCTTTCTCAATATTTCAGATGGGAGGTCTTTGCAAAGGAAAGAAAGACCAATGACGTAAAAGTTGTTAATATAACATACATCTGTCTTTATGTGATAAAACTTTTAAGCTAGGGCCCTACAAACTGATTGTAAGTCCATAATTTAATAAATGAGGTTTGTATTTTAGCAATCCCTAACTTAAATGACTATGCAAGAGACCAGGATGAATTAGTTGACTACAGGCCACAGCCATGTTAAATAAAGGTTAAACAAATTACGCTGGGTGCCTTAGAGAGTCGTCTGTGGGAGGCATCTAAGCTGTAGGTTTCTCTGTATGTCACAGAAGGCAGACTTTCGATAATATATAAGCACTCAACAATCCTGTGACAAATATTGCTGCTTTATAGCAGACCAGTAAAAGCAATATGTGGGGAGGTTTAGATGAAAAATTCCATCTAAATATGATTAACTGAATCTCAAACAATTCTAGTAATGGAGTTGCTCTTTAATTTACACCACTGTAAATGTGATGAGAACAGGGCTCAGAAAGTGTATTAGCCAGTGTTCCACTCTTAGCTATTTTTTCTCAATACCCAGTAGGAAATTCAGCTTATTTTCCTTTGTTTTAATCTTCAGACCTACAGTTACTGAACAAAATGTACATTAGTAAATGCACATAGGCATATTGTAAAAGCAAACACATGAGGTGTACAGGCAAAGGTTCGATTAGCAAGTATACCACAAATGAGACCTTTGTCTTGCTAATAAACTCCTCTCGCGGATTGTCATACCCAATTTGTGTTTTAACAGCAGATACTCTTTCAAGTGAAATGATTTTTTTGCACAAGAAGTTTTGTGCATGTTACAAAAAGAAAAATCAACAAGTTCACTGCCTTTCTGACTTTAGACAGCATCACATGTCTACAAACATAGACTGAAATAAACATTGTAGTGACCAAAATAGCTAGGTAGAAATAAGTGGTACGTTATAAAAACAGCAAGCTTGGCTGAACAAATGTTAAACATAATTAACTATTCAAAAAATGACAACTGATTTTGTAAATTCTCTACTTTTTCATGATATTGTAGTAAAACTAATAAATTATTGTTGCTGCTTTGTTTCAGGAAATGGGCATCATTTTTTGAGCCAGAGCTGACAATCTTATTCAGGTAGGAAAACTCAGTTTCTAACATGGTTCCTCACTTGTATAAATGCTACAGAATGTGCCACAATCTGTTAAATGGGGTTTGTTCTCAGGTACAGAGAGAAACATTAACATGGCAGCTTCATCTTCTCTTTGCATGCTTAGGTACTCCAGTGATTAGCTCTGTCTGAAGCCTACAGATACAGTAAAGGCTAGGAGGCTTTAATCTAGGTGCAGAAATAAAGTGATAATGGCGAATGAAGGCTTTGATGCATCTTGATTCAGAGTTTCAGCTGTGATACTGACCTTTCTACATGTCAAAAGGCTGCAGTATTATCCAAGAAGAAAGATCTCTTGTCCTCGGGCACAAAGTGGTAGAGAGAGTCTTCCCATTGTTAGTGTAGTTCCAGGCAGAAGGGGTTTTTCTTTGTTCCTCATTTTGGATGCTCTTGGAATGATCCACCAAATACTACGTGAGCTTTGGTTTAAATGAGAAAAGGGTAGCTTTATCTGGTACTTGATAGAAATGACATTAGTGTCAACGGGTGTCTTTCCAGAGGTGGGTTTTGCTGGATAGAAAGAGGAAGAAAGCAAGTAGAAAAAGAGTAGTTGTGGGGGAGGATATTATAATTTCTTTTATTCAAGACAGAGATCAAAGCATAGCGTGCAGTTTATCTTTGGTGGTGGTACGCATTTGTTGAATTTTTTTTTTTCCTTTTGAAAAACTTGCCTGAAAAAAATATTTTTTTAAAAGGCATGATTGTTGATGATAAAGCAGCAGCATATGATTATTACAAGGCATGGGCAGAGAAAGAGAGCTAGAAGCATGCCCATGTTAATGTTTGAGATCAGGCACTTTCCCGCTAAAATGCTCAACAGAAACTCCCACTAACCTCAAAGTACCACTTTGGTAACTGAAACACCTGGAGCGTGCTGCAAGAGAAACAAGGTCAGTGGGAGACTTTACTTGGTCAGGACTGCAGGAGTTAAGCTGGAAGAGAAAAACAGGTTCCTGGCTGAAGGCAGCTTGTATCTTATCAAGAAATCTATAACGTTAGGAACGCTCATGACACAAACTAATTCTTCCTCTGTCGCTGTTGTTACTCCTTTTGATTTTTAAAAAAAAAAAAAAAGACAAAAAAAAAAGAGACCTGTTTCATATTTGGTACAATACAGGAAGTCGGAGAAAAGCTATTGTACAGCAATTTTTAACCACCAACACACATTTAATATCTAGTGTAGCATTATGGAAAACTAAGTGTATGTTTGGACTTTTTAATGCTTCCAAAAATCTTTACTATTGAAACATATATGTGGTGTGGAAGATATGCTCATAATCTCACTGTAGTAAAGACAACATACAGTATGACTCATAAGTACTGTAAAAATGCTAACTAAAGAATGCAGCTGCAAAGTTCTATTGCATAAGGAAGCTTTCTTGTTTAAACTTTAAATAAGCAAGTTTATTAAAATATTCTAAGACACTTACCTTACCCTAGTTACTGGCAAGCTCTAATAAAAGCCACAGTCTGTCACTAGTATAATTTTTGTGTTAATCTTATAAAAATTTGGTGTGAGCTTTGATGGATCATTTACAATTTATTAACAAGATGATCATCTTGATACAGTTAGAAGGTTTTTTTTTTTAACCTTACATGCTCACAGAATAAAAAAGGATTCATATTCATATATATCGAACACCCTTTTTTTCCATGTCTGCAAACAAGTGTGGTAACTTTACACACACAAAGAAAAGCTCTTGTAACTCTTTAACTGGAAACTGTGTGTACATGTGTATGTATGTGTATATATATATATATCTCCAAAACTATATATATGTGTGTGTGAATATATTTATAGAGCAGGGCATCTGTTTTCCTCTTCGCACTTACGTATGTAATGACAGCTGAGAGAGACCAGTGCTTCTGAGAAATACTTTTTGCTTTTGCTGTTCTAATCAGCTTCTCACACGCAGACATCTACCTACTTAACTGTGTCTGCAGAGCTGACGAAAGACTTAACTTTTGCAAACTGCCCCGGCAAATAATTAACTGCAGGAGCAAAAAGGAAGCTGACTTCAGCCCCTTTAAACTCCAGCCCAACACTCCCCTTGCTGTAAAGCGTGACCCCCGCTTTCTCACAAATCAGAGCCTCGCAGACCCTCCCAGTGCTGCTCCCACTGGAATGGGGAGCGAAGCGTTGCGTTCCTGCTGGATCGTAAATTCCGTTTGGGACAGAAGGATAGCGGTTCGGATCAGAAACAAGCCAGGGGGACTTGCATTTCTTGTTTGCTGAACCTGAGGTACAAGAAGTGACACTGCAGAGCCCCGGGCCTGCTTGATTTGGTGTCAACAAAGAGGCTGTTGTAGCGGTATGATTGCAATAGGCTCTCTCCTTCTGGCCATACTAGAAACAGCAAATACAGTAGGTTTAGCCATGGTAGAATAGCTACAATTCATCTGTGGCTGTATTATTCTGCTTTGTCCCTTGCACACTCCAGATGAATATTTTATAAAAGCTAAACCTGTCGTATAACTCTTCTCTCTATATAAATATATATATATACATACACTCATACATATACAAATACTAACCCACAGACAAAATATTTTCTGAACAGTTGAATAGCAACAAGTCAACAGATAGAAAAAAATGGAGTCAATCTGTTTTCTGCTCCCCCAACGTCCAGTTTAGATGTCATGGTCTTTTAACATTCAGAGAAAATTCGCAGAAACCTTGCGTCTTGCAAGAGGAATCCATTAATAAACAGAAGTTAGGGCAGAGGCTGTCAAACACCAATGTATAGTCAGACAGATTAAGTGAGGTTGCAAATTAAACTGACTCTGGAGCAACTGAGGCCTAGTAGTGAAGAACAGTAACTGTAAACTGCAATCTTCAGATCTGACGTTTTCTTTTTTCTCGTTGCCATGGCAACTCGGTAGGACAGCTTCAAATGTCAGGAGTTCTTACAGACCTAAATGATGGGAAACATGTGTGATTATTACTATGCAGATCACAGTATCTTTTAACTTCTTGGTTTTTTTCCCCAATCAAATTACTGATTGAGTGCATGCACATTTGTCAGCAATTAAATATAAATTACCCAGGTTCAGAAGCAATTATTTGTGAAGACAGAAATCTCCAAGAGGAAACCCCAAAATGTCACCCGGGGCATTCAGAGACCTTTGTAGTGTGATTCAGGAAGATGTAGTGAGGAGGTCTGAGCATAAATCTCAAGCCCGGACATGATTCTCCCCATTTGACACCTTGATCATTTATGTTAGTGCAAAAGTGCAAGCAAAATGCCAGTGAGTCGCTCCCTTGTGTGCACACATGCTGACAAGCAAAGAGCAAACAAGCAATATTTTTTAAAAAAATAACGTGTTTCTAGTGCCTTATAGTTTGTGAATATACACAGGAATAAAAGAGCTGGCATATCATATTAATGTTGCTACAGAAATATCAATCTTATGTGGACTGTCTAACTTTTCTTTTTTATATAAACTGAAGGTGGCAGAACTTGAATGATACTACATATTTTAGATGCGTACTCTGATAATACAAAGGTAGTAAAGAAAATCAGCAAAACGGAGATTAGGAGCAAAGGTGACATTAGTTGTAGTTAATGGGTCACTTTCCTCCTGTTTTGCTTGGACACTAGTAAATTGCAAATATTTGGCTTTGCAGTAAAAACACAGAAGAATAACATTAGCAAAACACATAGCTAAATTTGATCTGGGTCTTCTCAAACAAATACAACTTCTCACCTTACAGTGCCGGTTTACTGGTTGTACTGGTTTTGGCTGGGATGGAGTTAATTTTCTTCATAGCAGCTGATATGGTGCTATGTTTTGGGTTTGTCACCAAAACGGTGTGGATAACCCAGGAATGTTTTCATTACTGTTGAGCAGGGCTTACACAGAGTCAAGGCCTTTTCTGCATCTCACCCCACCCCACCCGTGAGGAGGCTGGGGGGGCACGAGGAGCTGGGAGAGGACACAGCCAGGACAGCTGACTCCAGTGACCCAAGGGATGTCCCATACCGTATGACATCATGCTCAGCTTACAGAGCTGGGGGAAAGGAGGAGGAAGCGGGAGGAAATTTGGAGCGAAGGCGTTTGTCTTCCCAAGTAACCGTTAGGCCTGAGGGAGCCCTGCTTTCCTGGAGATGGCTGAACACCTGCCTGCCCACGGGAAGCAGCGAATAAATTCTTTATTTCACTTTTCCTGTGCGTGCAGCTTTTGCTTTGCCTATTAAACTGTCTTTATCTCAACCCACTGTTTTTTTCACTTTTTCCCTTCTGATTCTCCTCCCCATCCCGCTGGGAGAGTGAGCAGCTGTGTAGTGCTCAGCTGCCTACTGGGGTTAAGCTACAACAATGCATTGAAGGATTCACGCTCTTGACCCTGGGAGGAGACAACTGCTGTATCAAAACACAAAAACGCAAGTCAAACATCCACACCAAAACTCACAGATGCTCAGGAAATGTTTGTCTAATATATATTGCATTTGTCCACATAAATGATGCAATATCGATAGCTTTGTCACCACCACAGATACATGCAGCATAAACAGTAACCTAACGGTCATTATTAGGTGCTGGCTTGTGCTCTTTACTCATTTTTAATTATCTGCTTTTCTTTTTGAGCAAATCAAGTTTAATATAATTATTGATAAGGTTATTTTACTTTGTCTTTTTCTTTCTTGTTATTATCTTGGTATTATTTGAATTTACTTCAATATTAAATTCTTCCAGCTGGAGGCCTATCCAGATGGGCTATGCAGCAAGGCAGGCACCTGGATAGCACACAACTGCCTGTCCTTTCCCCTGCAGCACAACCTCAGTTCTGTTAAACAAAGGTAAGTAAAGCAAATTAAGCAAGTGTACGAATCCATAGAGGGACTGATGGATGGGAGGTCACTGAAGTGAGAAGTATCACTGAGATTTCCAAATAAGATAAAATCTGGAATTGCTTGGCACGCGGATTTTTAGCACGCTGTTTAAAGAAAAGGTCTGGCCACAAAATTAGGATCCAGACTTACATATAGGAAATTTATGATCATGACTGCCAAAGTTTGGATATATTTGGATTAGGGATTCCTGCTAGGACTAACTTGTCATGAACAACTTGATCTCCTAGGGTAGTGAAAAACAAGAGTTCAGGACTCTGATCTCACAGACCATCTGAAAAATAGCATTTCCAGATTGCAATGAAGCTTTGTATCATTGAAGGGCATTTGTTCAATCCTGACTCAAAGGAAATAACACTAGCTTTGGAATTGGCAATGCTACTCTGAATCTTTAGGAGATCCCTGGAGGTCTTCCTGTTAAGGACAGGCACTTGTATATGATGAATAAACAGCAGCTGTAGCACTGAATTTCTGTACAATCCATAGGCTGAAACTTCACCTGAGGAATCTGTCAGCACAAAACTTATAAATACCACACAAATTCAAGCAGCTAGTGACTGCTTCACCAACAGCTTGTAAATAAAGGGCAATATATGTTGATTCATGTGGAGACTTGAAGAAAAGCTTGTGTATTTTACACCATATTGACAGATATAATGAATGTTGCTACCTTATCATACACCTTACGTTTCCTGAGTAAACTATATATATTAAAAGTAGTTAGTTCAGCTTTAATTATGAATATGCTTTTTCCTAGGCTAGTTTGTTGTATGTGTTGAGGGCTAGCTTCTCTCTCACATAATATAAGTATGGTTTTAATTCTCCTGTTACCCCACCTGCCTCTTCAAGCACCACCCAGCTCTTCTCCCTTTCTTCTCAAAGCCCTACAATCCCTGCCTAGACTTTCTTTCTGCTGAAATTACTTCTCAACTTCATCCTTTCTGACCTATTAGCTGCCTTTGATGCATTTAATCACATGCCTGGAAATCTGATGTTCCCTTGGCTCCAGTGACTATCTCCTCCTGTCATTTTACTACGAATTCTCTAATCACTTTTCCAGCATGTCCTTCTGTCTCATTCCCTCCATCCCAGGTTTCTGGGGAAACTCTTTTTTCCCCCACTTTATTTTCTTCCCTTTCTCTTTGACACCATTCATACACGTTCAGCAATCACATCAGCACTGACAGTTCAGAGATCTTACTCTCTTTACCTGCTTTTCCATTTAGACTGAAACGTCAACCTCTAGCTCCGATACCTTTCCAATGTTTAGCTGCCAGCGCTGCACAGCTAAAACTGAGCTCTTAAATCTTTCCCCTAAAGCGCTCCCTTCTAGTTCTTCCTTTGATTGCTCAGGACAACACTATTATCCTGCCTCTTATTCAAGCCTAAAAACAGAAAAAAACTGGAGAAGGTTTTTGTCATGGAATCTCCTTTCTAGGTCTGTGTATTTAGGTTATGTCTTAATCTAGAAGATTCATTCTTCACACATGATCCCAAAGAGCTTTTCTAGCCATTCAAACAGCTAAATCGCCTACCCAGGCTCTCCTCAGTTAGCAGTTTTGCAACATCTTTTCACAGCCCTTGACAAATTCAAGCTACTGTGCTCATATTCTGCCAATCTTTTGCTGTACCAAGCATTTTCCTAGTCTGCCACTGACAAAAATCTCTGTTACTCTGACTCCTTCATGGCCTCTTCCCCACTGCATATATTTTCCTGGATTATCCCTACATGACCTGTTTTTAACTTTCCTTCATAGCCCATGATGGCAGCTTTCACTGGTATGTTTTCAAAGAAACCTGTTTGGGCCTTTTCCCAGGCTTTCCCATGTAATAGGAGGAGCTCCTTGCAAGCATCCGTAAAATGCTGTCTCTTTAACATCTGCTTTTGCTGACGCGTCTACAAAAATCTGGGCATTGGCAAAGGGTGCCAAGACTACTATGAATTCAGCTCAGCCCTTTCACCAGCCTTAACAGAGGCTGTGTTAAAAGAATTACCTCATTCCAAACATTGTTTGGAGGGACAGTATATATACCCCTCTGCTCATTAATGATGACCTGAGCTTTTTGTAAGGGTGGATTGCTAAAGGAGTAGCTTTTTGCTTTTAAAATCAGATTCAACATTCAAAATTATGTGCTGTAAAATCATCTTTGATAGTTCCAGTAAGAATATTCGAGATCAAATCTGTCTTCGTTCTCTCTATTACACACAAAGTTGATACAAAATTGGTTATGTCCAATAGTTAGGCTAACTTTTAGTCTCTGTTGTTAATATTAAAGTTTATCAGTTACAAATTTACTTTCTAAAAATATTCTGGTATAGTCATATAAGGTGTTATTGGACAAGCATTCTGGCCAGTGACTCCTTTAATACAAAATCTACAGAAAGCAAGAACAACCAAAGTATTGTGCAGAAAACTCAATGATGAATGTATGCAGGTCTGCTGAAATCAACAGAACTGCTCTATTAAATTCTTCTGGGATCTGATAAGCATCTGGTCCATATTTAAAATCTCTCAGTTCTCCCAGCTGGATATCCAGTGTTCATTATTGGTTTTGGTACAGGAAGTGTAGTTTTCCTCGTTTGTGTTTTGTTTTTTTTCTTTATTCTCCCCATAAAGGAGAACCAAATGAAAGTTCCAGAAATATGCACACACTGCCAAATTATTAGCATCTACTTCTTGTTTGAGTCCCATCTCTAAACAGCTACTGACTAAAGAGTACTGGCTTCTAGTGTTTATCCACTGACTTCAATGGGGTTGCGTTTGGACCCATTCTTAGGTATTTTATATCACGCATGATTTAAAGTTTGCAGCTGGCAAGAGCACATAAAAGATATTAGTATTTAAGGAATACTGTGAGCATAAAATGTGCAAATAATGTGTGCAGGGAGCACATTTGCTGATCAATGCTATCTCTTTTAGGAACTTAATGCCCTGGTAAGCCTGTGCCTGGCAGGTTTAGGTCTGTACACTAATGATCATTATGCCTAGTAATTATTTTATTTTATTTGTATTGGCTGTCTCTATAGCTGGTCTCAGCACTCAAGAATTATTACACACCGT